ATCAGTAGTTTTCTTATATGACAATTATTGCTACATTTGAAAGGTCTTTACCAGCTTTGGAATTATATATATATATATATCGTTCAGATTAATGTTGTCAGGTTTTTTTAGTTTTCTTTTTCTGCTTTGCCAAACGCCACTGTGTCAAGTGTCCTATTTGGGTTGCCGTATGTAGCTGTCCAATATGACGGACCATCTCGCGCTTGCACAATGCAAATCGGGCAAAGATGCAAATCGGGCAGTCACAAGCACTACACCCCTGGTTCTAAGGGACATGTAGATGTCGTGATGGGTTGACAGCATGTTGAGGATAACATCGTATGTATATCCTTCGTTCCATCTCTTCTTCCATTCTTTCCAACTCAGTTTATAATTCGTGAAGAAACAGCTGAACAGTACCAAACAGGAAATACGTGGTGCTGTCGGCCGGGTGCGGACCAATCACAAAGCATAATTTCTTAACTGGCAGCAAAAACAACCAATCACAGCAGTGCTCCTCTGGCTGGCTCTGTCCAATCACAAACAAGAAGTGTTCTCCCTAAAGGAATACCCTTTCCGTAAAATGTGAAATGCTGTAGTGTTTTCTGAAATGTTGTTTTGACTTGCACTTCAGGAACACCGTATGAGGGGGAAGACACAACAATACATTATATTTATATAGCGCTTTTCTTGAACTCAAAACGCTTTGGAGGGTGGAGTGAGGTGAGGTAAATGGAGGAGGGACTTATTGTTGATGTTTTTTTGAATCCTTATTAATATGGATTTCTGGAAAACCTGAGCTCCAGGAGAAAACCTTATCTGAGCAAAAAGTGAAGGAGGGAGGGGGTGAGGTAGGAGGAAGGAGGTGAGGTAGGAAGGAGCTGAGGGAAATGGAGTTACTGTTGTCCAGCTGGAGCTGAATCACCAGAAGTTTCCTCCATCTTCTCTGAGGAGGTGTTTCTCGCGTCTTTGGCTTTCTTCCTCATCTCCTTCTCTTGCATCTTGCTTATCATTTTCTGCAAGGCAACGTCTCGATCCTCAGTCTCCCCTCTCCTGCGAGAGAAGAAACCTCTGCTCTTATTCTTCATGTGAAGACAGAGGTCTTCCAGAAGTTTAATTTCCTCCTCCATCTTTTTCTCAGTTGTTGCCCAGCTCAGTCTTCTCTGAGCCAGGTCGTCCCTCTGCTCCTCCACCTGTTTCAGTTGTATCTCCATCAGAAGAAACTTGATCTCCATGCTCTGGTGTTTCTGGTCCAGGTCGTCCTTCTTCTGAGTTACCTCCTTTAATTTGGTCTCTACCAAATTAACCTTGGACTCCCAGCTCTCCTGGTTCTGGGCCAGGTCTTTGGAGAGCTTATTCTTCTGCTCTTCCAATTGGTTTTCCAACTGCTTGACATCTGTCTCCTTGCGTTGGACAAACTGCTCCCAGTTCAGCTGTTTTTCAGCCAGGTCTTTGGAGAGCTTCTCCTCCTGCTCTCTCATCTGTTCTTTCAGCTGTTTGACGTCCGTCTCCCAGCTCAGGTTATTCTCGGCCAGGCGATCTTTCTCTTTTTCCACCTGCTTTAATTTAGCCTCCACCTGTTTGAACTCAGTCTCCAAGGTCAGGGTTACCTTGGCCATGTCGTTCTTTTCCTGAGTCACCTCATTTAGTGTTGTCTCCATCTGTTGCTTCTCAGTCTCCCAGGTGTGATTCTTATCGGCCAGGTCTTTAGAGAACTTTTCCTCTTGCCTTTTCAACTGGGCCTCCATCTGTAGGAATTCCGTCTCCAAGGTCTTGTTTCTACTGGCCAGGTAATTGTTCTTCTTCTCCACCTCTTTCAATTTCATCTCCAGCTCTTGCTTCTCACTCTCCCAGGTGAGAGTATTTTCGGCCAGGCTCTTGGTGAACTTTTCCTCGCATTGAAGGAGTTGTTCCTCTCTTCTCTGCAGCAGGTTTAAAGTCACCAGGTTGGCCTTGTTGTGTTGGTCTGAGAGCTTCTGTTGCTGTGTCTCATACCGTGCCACTGTGTCTTCCAGCTGCTCTTTGTGTTGAAGCTCTGCAGCTTCCATGTTCTCCTCCAGATCGCTGTTTCTATCCTCCAAGATTGTCACACACTCAAGGAGTGCTTCCCCTTTTCTTATCAGCTCTTTCATGGTCTCCCCTTTCCTCATCCTCAGTTTGATGATCTCTGGGTCACACTGCAGGGGAACATCATTGTTCTCGCTGTCAGAAGTCGCCTGGTCCTTCTCGTCTGAGACATTTCCTTTCTCTGCCTCATGCGTTGCCACAATTTGGTCCAGCTGCCTCTTGTGTTGGCATTCTGCATCTTCCATATTCTTATTCAGACGTGATATTTCTGCCTCATGCTCCATGATGGTGTCAACCAGCCTTTTGTTCTCTTGTTGGTACCCTGAGTCCTTGTAGCTCAGAAGCTCCTCAAGACGTTTGACCTTGTCTTTTTGTTTGCGCATACTGTGGCAAAATGTCGTCCTCTCCTCCTGAAATGCCCCACGATACTCATCCAAGCCGTTTATCTGGCCATTTCTGCAGTGGACCTGCCTGTAAGCTCGATCCGCTTCTGCTCCATGGTCGAATGGCCTGGGGTTTCCCCTGTTGTTCTGGGGGCTTCTTCTATCCATGGCACCGTCTATAGACTTGTGTTGTGCGTAGGTAGAATAATCTATTTCTCTTTGGAAGAAGTGTTCTGTGTAGAAGTCTGCGAAGGTTGTCTGAATGCGTCTAACCACTTACAGCTCTGGAGTGAAGAGTGACGAGTGAATGCACATCACAGCCCTTGCAATCTACCTTCGGACTCCTGTGACATCACCATGACATCACAGATCTCTTTGATCTTCTGTGACGGAACACTCATCAAAGCCAATGATGTCATCGCTTCAGTGTGTCAGGATGTCACTGAAATAGTTTGGTTTAGATTTATGGTGTTGCCATGGAAACACAAACTCGCAATAATAATAATAAAAATGATAATAATACATTTAATTTTGATGGCGCTTTTCCTAGTGCTCAAAGACGCTTTAAATAAAATCAGAAATAGAAACGGTACAAACAAAACAAAACAACAATAAACAACAATAAAACAACAATACTACCCGATGTTGTCAAAAATACATAGTCCAAACGGCACCAAACGTCACATGATAGTTAATGCTCCAGCCTTGAACAGCTCTACGTCAAATCTGATCATCTCATCATATGCTGTTGCCATGGAAACACGAACTCGCCATAAAACACGATGTCGACTTAACTCAATGGTAAATGGTCCAAACATCACCAAACTTCAGATGACCGTTAATGGTAGAGCCCTCAACTCGTCTCTGATAACGAGGCAGCCCTCCAGACATCTGAGCCAATTGTGAGTCTTCACCGCACGCCGTCATGTGGCGCCCATTTTGAGGCTCGCTTGATGGCTATGTGATGGAGCTGGACTTTGTGTTGTGTGTAGATCTGATCCAGGAGCAGCTGATGGAGCTGGACTTTTTGTTGTTGTGTGTAGATCTGATCCAGGAGCAGCTGATGGATCTGGACTGCTTGTTGCCTCTGCAGTCGCTGCTGAAGACATCCTCTGCTGAGTGGAGAGAGTCGGCCGTAATATTAACTTTATTTAACACAACATTTACGGTACAAGATTTAATCATACAGCCCATGTAGTATAATATTTTACAAATGATGAATTACAGCAAACATGTGCAATATATCCATTATTACAGCTCCGTGGGCTGGCAGTAAGGCGATATGGGTCCGTTCTTATTGTGCATCCATGGGTAAAGATAAACGCATGTAGTGCTGAACACGTAACATGAACGTGCCGGGCGGCGCGGTCCCGTGGGTTAGATGCGCGTTCATAATGCAGAGGGAAATAACTCACAGAATAACGTTATTAGCACATTTTTACAACTTGAGGAACGAATGTTTTTAATAAGGGCTATACAAGTGTTCATACTGGGTAGTTTATTTAGTTTAAAAAAAATTATCCAACGATTTACAGACCACTCTTTCCCCATGTAAGTCAATGGGAAAAAGTGTTTCCGGGCCTGGCAACCAAAAGGAAGTGTAGTACCGCCGTTTGGCCAGCACGAATATTTTCATCTGAGTCCGGCGCACTTCCTGGGGGCTTGGTTTGCTCCTGCTGTAAATCTCTCCGGTAGTCCACCAGCAGATGAAAAACACCCACCTCTCCGCCTCTTCCAAGGGACGAGGGGACCGTGCGTCAGAGTTTCAGTTAGATTTTTTTTTTCGCTGGTCAACATGTCCGTTAAAGTTGAAATCTTCCGGACAAAATTAGAAAAGTGCCGGTCAAAGGTCTTCTTTGTTATTTATTGAGCTTTAAAACAAATTGATAACGACTCTATATAATAATATAAGAATAATAAACGGAGCCTCTCTTTTCCTCCCCCTCTTCTGACAGCCGAGAGCAGAGGTGGGAGAGGCGGGGCTATTGCTTCAACGTTATCAGGAAATGATCGTATAGGGCGTAGACACAGAGCCGTTTGCCCCCCCAGAGCATTTCGTCCGCAGATCTACCCACCTAGGGACCCGTTATCGTTTTATGCGTTTCCGTCTATATGATAGAGAACTGTAGCGGATACGACCGTTATCGTCCTCGTGTGGCTGGGGCCTAAAAGCGTCCTCATTATTTAGTGAGCATTTCTTGATCCATTTTAAACGGTAGTGGGGACAAGATCCACCAAAAGCAACTCAAAGTACTGCAGCCATTTACACCATCTTATCATAGTAGATATTCTTAACAAATGAATCACTATCAGGCCTTGAGATCCAGGAGGTTTGAGTCTTCTGTGTGTTTCCCCTGCAGATGGAGACTTCTCCTCTCTGTTGTCTGGCGGTGAGGTGGAGGATCAGCTCCGGACGGTTCATGATCAGACGGAGGAAACCAGACGGCTGCTGCAGACGATCCAGCCTCTCTCTCTCTCCATCTCCTGTTCACCCTTTACTGCCTCGACACAAACACTGAGAGACGAGCACTGAGCACAGCATTCATGCACTGAAGAAGCAGCTTTTCTCCATCATGTTTTAAAGTGTTTATTTATTAGTTTTTATGCTTACAGTCAACAACAAATTAAGTGAAAAACAAGGCAGAGAAGCGGCATAGTATCAACTCTTAACACGTGATAGTTACAAGCAATCGGATATTTAGGATTGGATACATTTGTTTTTTATATATGCTTTTCTTATAATAAACTCACTTAAACTCTACGCCTCCTAACGTTGCTTTGTAAAGCGATTGCGCGCAATATCAAACAGAGAAGACTGTGAGTGCAATAAAGTCTCTGTGCATCGAATTCTCTTAAACAACACTCACTAAAACTGAAGCAAAGTCTTTGGAAACTAAGTTCCTTAGCAGCTTTGAAATATGTGATTGCTATACGTCACAAAATCAACAGGTAGGAGAGGAATTTACACAGGTACAATTGAACTCTTGTGTGCTAACTTCATAGCGCTAATCTAAAAGTGGCAAACTGAGGAAGGAAAAGTACTTAGACACATCAGGAATAAGCAAAAAGCATATGGCTAACATGATTGTAAGAAGAGCTATTCCTATTACTTCACACACTCTCCATCATCTCCACTGTCTACATCTACTGTACTGGTTTTTGGATAGTGGTTATTACTGTATATGTTCTGTACTGAAAGGAAGCAGTAAATAACTTGCCCAGTATTTGTGCCACTGGTTACACACACAGAGAAAAAGTGATGCTGACGTCTCAGTGAGAGGCGAGGCTGGAATCTTGCATGCTCACGCTTACATTTCAGTGTGCAGAAACATGGCCTAGCTGCAGGAACTCACGGAGAAAACACAGCTCTCCAATAAAGTGTGTGAACGTCTGTGCAGCTGCTCAGATGACCTCTGCAGGGACACACAAAAAAAGATATTCAATAAAATGATTCCGAGCATCTTGAGAGATAAGAACATGTACGATCCACGTTGAGACTTTCCTTTAGGAGGGTCAGGATATACAGGGAAAGGAGAGGCTGTCCACACACCATGGAGCTTTATTACTTTGAATACTGTCAGGTGTTGTGTGACGAAGACTTGGTAAGATAACATTTTGCATTAATAATAACTTGTAACAATTTTGGAAGAAAACGTACTGACATTTTTTGTCTCGTTTTGTCCCTATTTTTGGTCATTTAGCATCTTGTAGACGTTTTGAATCTCTTCTTTGTGTCTCTTTGAGGTTAAAACGTACTCCATTACGTTCATTTGACAAGAGTTGTTACCAGTTACTTAACTACGGAAGAGCATAAGGGTCACGTGTGAATATTTCTATAAGATCTGACCAATAGTGAACTTTTTGTTTGAGTTCTGCGATTAAAGTCTGATAGAAATAAAATCACATGTTGCCCTAATCCTCTAATTAATGATGGTGTTGTAACAAATGGACAACTGTTTGAATCAAGTCATTAGTGGACCGGTTGAGAGGCAATTTGGATGGAAATAACCTGCCATGACGCTGTAATTTACTCTCAATAAACCCTTGTTCAAGTTGTACATGTCCCTGGGGGTCTTCACTAAGTTTTATGGAGTCAGAACCAAAATATCCTGCAGACTGCAAGTGTCCTAGGATCTTTGTACGTTCGATAAATTCTGACATTACATGCTTTTGGCCAGGGGGGTCAAACTCTATTTCACCGCTGGCCACATTGGCATTATGGTTGCACTCAATGGGCCGGTTGTTACTTTAAGACGATATAAATATATATAAAATAATATATTATATTACATTATTGCCTCTGCATTGGATTATTATCGAATAGGGTAATAATAACTTCATAATTAACTACATCTGAAAGCAGAAGTCTAGGGCAGATAATTGCAAGTCTCTTCAGTGCGCATGTCACAAAATGAGATGCATTGTGGGACATGTAGTTTATGGGCAACGTGCTTCTGTAAAGCAGCATGTAACTGTATAATAAACGTATTATATTCTTTCAGAGCTCTTACAGGCCGCATCAAATGGGCTTTGAGTTTGACACCCTTGCTTTTGGCTGACAATCACCAGTGTGTTTGTTTCCAATGCTTTATATTCTAATGAGTGTTAAGGTCCAGTAGGATCTCACCTGCTCGTTGGTGGGTCTGGATCTCCTCGAGGCCGCTGAGGGTCCGGAGGGAGCGTCGTTCTTTGAAGGCGACCACAGGAACCACGTCCTCCTCGTTGTTCAGGCCGGAGCTCTTGGTTCCCACCGGCAGCTTCACAGCCGCCTCGATAGAACCACGGAGAACCGGCTCTGTGTTCTCCTTTGGTTGGGCTTCATCTGGCAGAATCCTCGCAGGAACAGATTTCTGTGTTCAGAAGGATTCATCATCAGAGAGAAGACCCCTTAAAAGGTCACCTATTATGCAAAATCCACTTCTTCATGTCTTTTCTACATCAACATGTGTCCCCTCTTCTTCATGTCTCTTCTACATCAACATGTGTTCCCTCTTCTTCATGTCTCTTCTACATCAACATGTGTCCCCTCTTCTTCATGTCTCTTCTACATCAACATGTGTCCCCTCTTCTTCATGTCTCTTCTACATCAACATGTGTCCCCTCTTCTTCATGTCTCTTCTACATCAACATGTGTCCCCTCTTCTTCATGTCTCTTCTACATCAACATGTGTCCCCTCTTCTTCATGTCTCTTCTACATCAACATGTGTCCCCTCTGTGTAAAGAGACTCTGAAAGTTTCAGGAGAAAAGATTCTCTCTCGATTTGTCCTGATCCATTTATATAAAAACCTGTCTGAAAATGAGCTGTCATAACGATTTGTTGGCTTGTGTAACCATTAGCCAATCACCAACCAAGGTAACCCCCCCCCCACCTTATCACCTGAATCTCCTCCTAGAGCACCAATAGGCGCTTTCACACCAAGTACTTTGCCGTACTTAGTCCTCATCAGAACTAAAGAGCAGATCGCGTTCACACCGGAATAAGTTCCTGGGGAAGGATTAGGCAAATGAAGCCGCTGACGTCACTTCTTCTTCTTCTGCTTTGGGTTTACTGGCAGGCCGCAAACAACTTCACGGCGTATACTGCCACCCGAAGTCCCCGGCCGGAAGTCCCCGGAGTTGGGGACTGGCTTCAGTAGAAGCTGCTGGGACTCCCAGCAGCTTCTACTGAAGCCTTCCGAGTAAATCACCAGAACACCGACACCTCCTCATCTCCACCGCTCCCATGTTTTCTTTTGTGTTGCCATAAGTTAGTCTCTCTGCGTTTGTGCGCTGGGCGAATGCTAATGCTAATAATGCTAATGCCAGCAAATTAATGGCGGCTTCACAAAACTTTTCGGAGTTTTACGGGGCGTGGTTAGCAATTCGCCCAGCCAATCAGAAATGGGAACCTTTTTCTCCCATGAAAGTACCTGCTCTCTAGCAGGGACTGAAAAGTGTTCTTTTTACCCAAATATCTCTCAGAGGGGCGTGGGGAGGGGCTCCTTATTTTCATCTAAAGTAACAGACAGAGAATCAGCACTTTTGAAACAGGGCTGAAACAGAGGGGATTATGGGATGCTGCAATGATCTGTTTGGTGTTTCAGCCAATCAGAGACAGGTTCTGTATATATCTGAGACCTGTAATATATTGATGAAAAACAGTATAATAGGGGACCTTTAATATCCTACTTGCAAGGCTAAAATAACTCAGTAGGACAGTCACAACATCAGATTTTCACTATTTGATTACACAATAAATGCAAATACCTTTAAAAGTGGGAAAAGGGTGTTAGCGTCCTGATCTACCAATCAGAGGGAGAGTGGTTTGATCACATGTCGACGTGTGCTTGGGCGAGATACATAACCCTTAATTGCCACGGTATAGAAGTGTATACAGTATAAGTCACTTAATGTCGTACACTTTCCTTAATCCACTTCCTGAAAGGCTTAAATAAAAAAGATCAGGGTTGTCGCAATATCAGATTTTTGAATGAATGATTATTGTGTTAAAAAAAGTTAATTTGTTAATTTTTTTGGCAAATAGACTCAAATGAATAAAAAGTCAAGCGCAGGAAGGAGGAAAGAATGTATAACTGTATTTGAAACATGATGTCAATATTTCATTTTAATCATAACTACTGGTATATTACTGGTGCAGGAATGAGTCCGTAACATTGAAATAAGTCAGCCTTGTATCACTTTCCAGTTCACTCGTCATGGAAAAATCCCATCGCTTTTTGTGGAGGGAGCCGTGAAGATGCTAAGATTCCTGATGATAATTGAAGCGGAGAACACTTAATCGATATTGTATACTGTGATATTTAGAATTAAAAAAAGATTAACCAGTTTAGTGAAAGAGAAGCTTTTAGAAACTGGAGTTTGTTGGTTGTTAGTGAATGCTGGATGTGTGTGGGGGGGGTGTACTCACTGTATCTGGAGAGTCACTCCTTCTGGTTCTCCGCATGATCTCCTCAAGTCTCTGCAAAAGAAAACAGCTTTTATTCAAACACTGTCACAGCCGGACATTCGTGCAGCCATTCAGTTTTTTTTAAATGTGGATATAGTTCACATTAAAGCACAGATAGTCGTTTAGTTATCTATACGTTTGAATCAGATGTTGTCAAACCTTTTTCCTCACTGTCCGCGCTGCCTCCTCTTTCAGAGCGATGATTTCCCGCTCTTGTTTCAACTGCTCTGCTTTTGCCCTTTCTTTGGCTTGTTCCTCTTCTCTCTGGATAAACAGGGAAGATAGCGAGTTTCAATTAAAATAAATTATGTTGACATACACCTTGATCTATTTTTAAATATATATATTCATTCACATTGGTGTTTTCGAGGTAGGAGGGTTACAGTACTTTAAAACACGTTTTCTGTTAGAATGATTAATAACCTGTAAACGAAAAATGTAATAAGTAACCTAATCTAAGTACCACAATATAGAATACAATGCCAAGACAAAATTAATATTTTACATATTGAGCATATTTTAGTTTGAAGAGGCCCCGTTTTCCCTTTTCCTGTAGTATGTGTTATGCTGCGTTCACACCGGACGCGATGCGAATATTCGCTTCGCTCTAATCGCTCCTATCGCATCGCTCTAAACGCTCGAGTTTCACCGCGGCTGCCAGTTGTGTTTACTCGCATCATTCAAACAAGACGCGCTGGCTCGGGACAAAATGAACATATTTTACCGTGATTAAATTGTAATACACGTTTCTAAATGATGCCTAAGTAACAACATACTGATACCGGTTAGTAAAAACCATGAATTAATGCTTTGACAAGTCTGCAGACAAGACGGCAGGCAAAACACCTTTTAAAATGCTTGTTTTCTGAATGAAGATCGGGTCGACCAGGCTAAGCTAACGCAGTATATGCTCATTCTACACTCATAACAACGGCCTACAGACATAAATAAGCCAGCGACTGTATTCGCCATTACACAGACAGTCTGTGGTTTGTACTTGTTTAACTTTTGTCCAGTTTCTGAACAGATATGAGGAGCTGTGAGCTCTGTGTGCCAACTGCTAACAGCTAACGGCTGATGTTTTCTGGTTGAACGTCAGTGACGGCGGCTGAGATCCTCACCGCTGATTGGCTTCCGCGAGAACGCGTCACGTGAATTTAACGCTCGAGTTGAAAAAATTGAACTCTCGCGTTTGACGCGGCACCGTTCAATCGCCTCAATCGCGTGATTCGCGCCGTGTCCACCGCTTCATGCTCGCCGTCGGAGCGAATCCGCGTCTCTGCATTGACTTTACATGTAATCGCGCCGCCCCCAAACATCGCATCGCGTCCGGTGTGAACGCAGCATTATAGGTTTTAGTGCATGCAAAGTTTCGGATCATAATGACATCACTAGGTAACACTCGTGCTCCTATTGGCTAGCGCTCCAACACATTGTACGTGATAGGCTAAGGGGCGGGACATCTCTTAGCAGTTGACCAATCACAACAGAGCCGGCCAGCTAACCAATCAGAGCAGACTGAGCTCTGGTTTCAGACAGAGGGTGAAAAGAGGTGCTGCAGCACAGGCAGTATGAGAACAATAAAGAGCTGTTTGAACATTAAAGCATGGAGACAAGTCCCAGTAGAGACACTACATACTGATATACACCTGAACATCAGCAGGAGAGAACTCTTTAAAGTAGAGACACTACATACTGATATACACCTGAACATCAGCAGGAGAGGACTCTTTAAAGTAGAGACACTACATACTGATATACACCTGAACATCAGCAGGAGAGGACTCTTTAAAGTAGAGACACTACATACTGATATACACCTGAACATCAGCAGGAGAGGACTCTTTAAAGTAGAGACACTACATACTGATATACACCTGAACATCAGCAGGAGAGGACTCTTTAAAGTAGAGACACTACATACTGATATACACCTGAACATCAGCAGGAGAGGACTCTTTAAAGTAGAGACACTACATACTGATATACACCTGAACATCAGCAGGAGAGGACTCTTTAAAGTAGAGCCACTCTTGATTGATCTTTACTCGATGCAATGATTGTGTTTCCCACCTGTCTCTGCAGCAGCACGGCCTCCTTCATGGCCTGAGCTCTTTCTTCCTCGGCTCGTTTCTGCTCCTCTTCCTCCCGCCTCTTCTTCTCCTCCACGAGACGATGATCCTCGGCCTGCTGTCGCTCTCGCTGCTCCGCCCTCCTGAGATCCAGATCCTCACGACTCCGCCTGCACATTCATTCATTAAGTCATTGTCAAACTAAAATCTTAATAGAGTAGTGCAAGAATAATATTTAATAATAGATTCAATTTGTATAGCGCCTTTCAAGGGACCCAAGGCCGCTTTATATGGTGAACAAACAAACAAACAAACAAACAAACAAACAAAAGGGGCAACTAATAAAGTAAACATTAAATAAATAGCAGTAGGAATGGAAGCAGGGGGACTGTGATGGGTTAGGGGTCAAAGGCCATGATGAACATAGGGAATGAGTCCTAAAACCTGAGTCAGCATTTAGCCCTTCTGGTTCCCAAGTGCTTTTGGTTAGATGTGTATTGTATGTGTTTTATTTACATTATATCAACATTTCACCCTTAAAATATCACGCTTATTGTCTATATCGCAGCACCCCAAACCCTGTATACAGTGGTGCAGGAATGAGTCCTAAAACCCAGAAATGATTCAGCTTTTTAGCACTTCCTGGTTCCTTCGTCTCAAATTTCATAGTTTAAATGGGTTTTTGTTAAGACAAGCTGAAGAGATTTTAACGTTTTGTTCTACTACGTAAAATTGTCAGTAAATACCCAGCGGTGAATTTCAAAACGGTGGTTGCTAACTAGTGTCTAAATGAGACGACTAAACGACATCATGCCCAACATTAGCCATTTTAGCTTAGCGGTGGTGACGTGAAGTCATGTGACCGTGCTGTAGTTCTTTTATAGCCCAACATTAGCCGCCTTTAGCTTAGCGGTGGTGACGTGAAGTCATGTGACCGTGCTGTAGTTCCGTTATAGCCCAACATTAGCCACCTTTAGCTTAGCGGTGGTGACGTGAAGTCATGTGACCGTGCTGTAGTTCTTTTATAGCCCAACATTAGCCGCCTTTAGCTTAGCGGTGGTGACGTGAAGTCATGTGACCGTGCTGTAGTTCTTTTATAGCCCAACATTAGCCACCTTTAGCTTAGCGGTGGTGACGTGAAGTCATGTGACCGTACTGTAGTTCCTTTATAGCCCAACATTAGCCGCCTTTAGCTTAGCGGTGGTGACGTGAAGTCATGTGACTGTACTGTAGTTCCTTTATAGCCCAACAATAGCCGCCTTTAGCTTAGCGATGGTGACGTGAAGTCATGTGACCGTGCTGTAGTTCCTTTATAGCCCAACATTAGCCTCCTTTAGCTTAGCGGTGGTGACGTGAAGTCATGTGACCGTGCTGTAGTTCCTTTATAGCCCAACATTAGCCACCTTTAGCTTAGCGATGGTTACGTGAAGTCATGTGACCGTGCTGTAGTTCCTTTATAGCCTAACGTTAGCTTTTTACTTCAACAATCATAAAGATGTGGAGATGATCCTGCTGAACAGAACATGTCAGTATCATAAACATGCTTATTTTAAGAAATATTCCTAAATGAAAGGGAAAAATCTCATTGCTTTTTGTAGAGGTAGCCCTTGCGACGCTTACTTCTGGGTCAGCCTACTAAAATACGTCATGCCTGCCCCACTCTACTGTGTTTCTGTCTCTAAAGCAGACATATTCCTCACCTCTCGGCCTCCTCCCTCTGCAGGCGCTCCTGCTCCTCACTCTCTCGTTGTTGTCGCTCCTCTCTCTCTCGTTGTTGCCTCGCCTCTCTCCTCCTCTCAGCCAGCAGACGAGAGGCCTGGCCGGCGTCTGTGGTCCCGGCTGAGGGTCGACACGTGACTTCAGGAGGCTGAGGATCTGCAGGGAGAGGCTTTTGAGGAGGACCTGAAGAGAGAATTGATAGAATAGAATTGGAGGGATGAACCCCTCTTTAATGGTCACACATGCAGAGCACACAGCACACACAGTGACATGTGTTCTCTGCTTTTAACCCATCCTAGTAGTAGGAGCAGTAGCAGAGAATTATATCACCTTTTGTAAGAGCCATTTAATAAAGTGTCATGTTTGGGTTCAAGTCGTCACCATTTTAAGTTATTCGCTGTGTGTGCCATAGGGTGTTGTTGTCCTATTACCCTAGGCACAGGTATTTAAGGTGTGTGTTGTCTCAGGATTAGGTGTGTCTGACCCCGGAAGGGCCTATGGTATTTGACCGTCTTAGCGCATGTGTGTAAGTATCGCATCGATTGTTTGTTCGGGAAATGAATTAAATCTGAAAGGAAATGCACTCACACTTTATTATGCACGACAATAGACAATAAATTGATTATTCTGCACCTGATAACGAGCCTAACGATGCATCACTGAAGCAACCAACTAACTCATCCTCATTGAACATGACGGAAACTATTTGAGAATTTATTTTTTATACCTTGAACGTTTTTTTATTTTACTTCTCTTTGTTTTCATTATTATCATTATTATTATTGTTTGTTTTGTTTCTAAGATGTTCAATAAATTGACTAATAAATACAAATAATAATAATCCCCACAGCATAGTATGAGGTTGAGGCTGGAATTCTTTACCCGTCCATATCATTCAGGAAAATTCTCAAATACATTTCAAAAGGTTGCTAAAAATCATCTCAGTATTACAAAGTAAAGTTGAACTGTGCCTGTGGGTATCTTATTATGTACACTTTTTTTACATTTGTATTTTTTTGTTTGGCCTTATGATGGCGAAAATTGGATGACCATTTTAGTTTTCACTTCATATAGCACTGTAAATGGCATGAAATTATGAGCCGTTTAGTTTTGTTTTATGTACGTTTGTGTACGTTTTGTGTGTGTGAGGACCCCAGGAAGAATAGCCAATGCTCATGCTAGTGCTAACCTAGTACTCACATTGAATGCCACTTGAACATAAAAGCATTTCTGTAGCTTACTTCTTTGTCTCGTTGTCTCTTTGTCGGGCAGGTTCAGACGTGGAGCCTCTGGAGGATTTTCCCCTCTCGTTTGCCCTTCAGATGTTTTCCTGACGGGCCGTGAGTTCCCGGGCGAGAGAACAGAAACGCTGTCAGAAACGCTGTCAGAAACCGAAATGTCTTCCTCGGGAACAGACGGGAGCTCCAGCTGCAGCGGGGGGGAGTGACGGCTCATCGACCTTCGGGAGGACCTTTAAGATCCAGCAGGAGAGAACACACGTCCCACTTTAATCATAAATTATTATAATACATTGAATTTTTATAGCGATTTTCCTAGAGCTCAAAGACGCTTACTTTAGTCAGATTACTGTCACTTTGTGTGAGTGAAGCCACAAAGTCCCTCAATATCACTATATGATACAAATATGTGAGGAATAGCTGGAGTTACCTGTACCAGATTGTTGGGATCTGACCAAAAGTGATTTTATTTTTTACTTTTTTTGAATTAATTGTATATTTTTCGGAATGTTGACTTTCTTCAGAATTCCGACTTTTTTTCAGAAGTCCGACTTCTTTTAAGAGTTCTGACTTTTCCCAGAATTTTGAATTGTTTTGCTTTTTCAGATTTCTCCGTTATTTTCAGAATTTAGACTTTCATTAGAATTCTGACTTTTTTTCACAATTTTGACTTTTATCAGAATTAAAATCTAAAAGTTTTGAGAAAAGTCAGAATTCTGAGATTTGTTATTATTTTAACCTTTTTTCAGAATCCCAACTTTTTTTTTCAGAATTCCAACTTTTTTGGGGGAATTTTTCAGAATTCCAACATTTTTCAAAATGTCGACTTCTTTTAAGAATATTGACTTTTTAATAACCTGATTTTTTTTTGAAAAAAAAAAAGTTTCCAGTTCTTATTCTTTCATAATAATTTTTTTTTAAATTATTCTTTACTTTTTTCAGAATTCTGAAAAAAAGAAAGAAAATGTTCACATGTGACCAGAATCCTCTTCCGTAATGTTAAACCCCTTCTCACTCAGTAAAAAATAAAATTCTACATATTACTGTAACTGTGTTATGAATGTACAGCAGATGTGTTTTTCCATCACCTACCGTTCAGGTGAGGGAGAAGTCGTTCTGCTTAGTGTATCTTTGGCAGGTTTTACACTGGTGCTGACGGCAGGTGATTTAGTATTTGAGTTCTTCTTTTTTGTGTCTTTCTGGCTTGATGCTTCGATCTAAACAAGAAAAATAACAGTTTTTTTCTTCTTGCAAACTACAAATCGGCATACACTGAAACAAATCTTGGTTTTTATAAAAATATATAAGGAATAGCTGGACTTACCTCTGCCAGATTGCTGCTTCTGTGCTGGCTGTAGTTGGGGCTGGGGGAGTTCCTGTGGTGGAGCTGCTGGGGTTTGTGAGGGGTGGAGTTGGTGGTTGAATTCATGGAGTGGAATGAAACTGCACGGCGACAAATATGGACAACTGAGCCAGTCATTTGTGCCATAATTATGAGAAATCGGAGGAAATACAATGCACAAATGGTAGTTATGGATTTGTGAATCAGCGCGTAAACAGAGAGGAAAGATGAGCAGCTGTTAGTTGCAGGAGTATCTTACATAATGCACTTCATACAGTTAGCATTGCCATGATATTAAAGAGGACATATTAGCTATTTCTTTACATGTGCACATACTTTCAGGTATCTGGAAAGCCTACACTACCGCTTAGTTTTCCTTTTTATAATCGTTATATTTGTGAACTTCTTTTACAACTTACTTTCTTATGTTGTTTACTTGTATATAGACTCTTCTTGCACTATTTCATCTGTTTTATTTGTTCTATGTCCTATATATATGTTGCACTGTTGGAGGAGCCTACGTTTTTCATTGCCATATCTACACTTTAGCTAATGTGCAAATGACAATAAAGCCTTGAATTGAATTGAATTGTTTATGTTTGCACCACCATACCAATAGAGTGGTGCAGTGACGCGTCCTAAAACCCGGTAGTGAGTCAGCATTTCACCACTTCCTGTTCCCTCGTCTCAGAGCCAATGGGATTTCTCCATAGGATGTTGGAAAATAGCTGAAAATAAGGTCTGTGGTTGAGACACATTGAAGAGACGGATCACGTTTTGTTCTACGACATTAAATCCATCAGCAGTGACCCCACTGGTGATTTCTGAAGAGTTGATGTGTCTGAAAAATGATGGTTGTTACCAAGTGGCTGAATAGGACTACAGAAGTTGTGGAGGCCGTTGTACGTCATTACGCCGAACACGTAAACACTCCTCTAAGTGTGTTTGCCCTGTTCTGATTGAAAGCAAGTACCTGCCTCCTGAAAACTGTTCAAACAAACGCTTCAACTCGTACCATTTTGAATCTGTGTGTTTGAATATGGATCTTAAAGGTAGGGTAGGTAATTTTGGAGAAACCAGCTCGAGATCGCTAGAATTTGAAAATACACAGCCACAAGAAATCTGCCACTTCCTTATAGAGCCCCTCCTCCAACACACACGAACGCGCACATGACCAATGAGGGCACGAGATAAGTTTGTGCACAGATGGAAGGCTGACAGGCAGGTGGGCCATCCAGTTATTTTAGCCGGGCCGGCTAAAATGATTGGTCGTGCTTTTTACAGTATTACGGCTTCCACAGATGACATTTTTTTATGGATTTTTTGTCAAAGCACTTCAGATATTCATTGCCATCGGGATGTTAAGAGCATTCAATGGAATATAACAAAAAGTGTATCTCGAGCCGGTTTCTCAAACTTACCTACCCCACCTTTAAGTTGGCGTGACGTTGAAGTCATGCTGCTGTACTCGCTTGTAGTTCCTTTATAGCATAACGTTAGCATTTTGCTTCTGTTCATTAGATTTATTATTCGAAAATTATAAAAGTAGGGTAGACATGTGGAGATTATCCGGCTGAACAAAACCTATGGAGAAATCCCATTGCTTTTTTGTCGAGGGAACTCATGCGCAGCTTACTTCCGGGTCAATACGTCATCCCTGCTCCCCTCTATTCATTGTCTGTGTAAACGTACCTGGCAATAAACGTGACTCTGATTCTGATAATATGTCCTCTTTAAATCAGGGTTATTGTTATAGCTTGTGTTAGAGTACCTTCTTCTCCTGACTGACACCCAGCACTCTTGCTCCGGGCCAGATAAGAGCATGTGGGCGTTAGCAGGCGAATGACCAGGTTCTTCTCCCATGGTGTCAGAGGCAAGCGACGTGGAACTAGCATATATTGATCAGCGTAAGGTGCGGCAAAAACAAAAAAAAGATGAAAGGCACGTCCAAGAATTGTTAAGATATGTTGCACAGAAACTGTTAAAGATTGTGTTAAGATTAAGAGGAAAGGGAGATAAAGTAGAAAGCATGTTTGTTTTGTTCTCACGGTTCTTGGTGAGCTTTCTTCCTCTTGAGTTTTGGCTCTGCTGGGCCCTTTGGCTCTTCTCCACTGTCCTCCGCACTGCAGATTCATATCGCTCCTTAAATAAGAAAACAAGTAGATGTTTCAAAATTTCAAAACTCACTATCTATTTGAGAATTACTCCAAGCTCTGTGGGACGAAAAGACTATTATACACATGTTTTTAGAGTGTACTGCAGCTCAACAGTCTTGGAGTGATTGGATAGTTTATGATATCATTAGGTTTTAAATACCATGTTTCCCAACTATTAAACCATCAGAAAAGGTGCTTTTTGCTAGCTTTACTGCAGCCAAGATAATCCCATTAACACAATGGACATCAGTAGGAGAGGACTCTTTAAAGTAGAGACACTACATTCTGATATACACCTGAACATCAGCAGGAGAGGACTCTTTAAAGTAGAGACACTACATACTGATATACACCTGCACATCAGCAGGAGAGGACTCTTTAAAGTAGAGACACTACATACTGATATACACCTGAACATCAGCAGGAGAGAACTCTTTAAAGTAGAGACACTACATACTGATATACACCTGAACATCAGCAGGAGAGGACTCTTTAAAGTAGAGACACTACATACTGATATACACCTGAACATCAGCAGGAGAGGACTCTTTAAAGTAGAGACACTACAAACTGATATACACCTAAACATCAGCAGGAGAGGACTCTTTAAAGTAGAGACACTACATACTGATATACACCTGAACATCAGCAGGAGAGGACTCTTTAAAGTAGAGACACTACATACTGATATACACCTGAACATCAGCAGGAGAGGGACTCTTTAAAGTAGAGACACTACATACTGATATACACCTGAAAATGAGCTTAATATGGCCTCTTTAACAAAAACGTGGGCACCTAAAGACTCACTTTGTCCTCCTTCAGCCTCTGCTTGCGTTTCTCCTCGACTGCGGTTCGTTTCCTCTCCTCCTTCAGCCTCTGGTCCAGCAGTTTCTTCCTGCGCTCCTGAATCTGCAGCTCGTAATAACGTCGGGCTCGCTGCTCACGCTCCATCCGGCCATTCTCCCGAGAGGCTGCAGGAAACAGAGTGAACCGGTAAAAATAGATTACACAGAGTTATGTGTGTCAATCGTACTAGAGATTGAGGTCAATGCATGAACACGTACCCAGTAACCTCTGGTGCTCCTCTCGTCTCTCCCGTGCCGCTTTCAGACGCTCGTCAACATTCAGTCCATTGGAAACTAAAATGTAAAAAATGTGACTTTATAGCAGCGGTGGGATTTACTCAAGGACAGTACTTGAGAAGATGGCGCTGGTGATGATGGCTGCCGTGTCTTTGGCTCCTTTCACAATTCTGCCTTTTTTTCCATTTAATTTCAGTGTTTGTTTACATTTCGATGTGTGCTTTTAACTTTGTCTGCAACATGCGAGCCGACCACACCAACCCTTCTATAAAGCACATCTCAAAACATTCTCTTGCACTATTTTATCTGTTTTATTTGTTTTACGTCCTATATATATATTCATGTTGCACTGTCGGAGGAGCCTGTAACCTAAGTTTTTCATTGCCATATCTACACTGTAGCTACTGTGCACATGACAATACAACCTTGAATTGAAACTATCCGAGTCCTTCTTCCACCTTGGCTTTATATTTAACATTATACTATTTGTATTTAAACAATAGAAACAACATTTCTAAAAGGAAGTCATGCTGAAAGTACTTGACAGCTGCTCATAAAAAGGTACATTTAAGAGCTTTATCAAACCTGCGTTGGGTCGTGGAGATGCTGTGTTGCAGATTTTCGCAGCATTGTTGACGGAGCAGGCTGTTTTCTTTGCCTGTGAATTTGGCTTGAGATAACCAGCATTGTCTAAAAATGAGAGATGAAAAACAGAATGGTTTAATTAGGTAAAAGAAACAACTCTTCCTCTGACGTCAAGGCTTTGTATCGCATGAACATCCTCATGAATATTTCTCAATTTGAATACATGTCTGAAGGCCCTATTATGCTTTTGTCGTTTTCCCTTTACTGTAGTGTGTTATATAGGTTTTTTTTTAATCACTATGGAACACTCGCGCTGCTATTGGCTAGCGCTTCAACACATTGTACGTGATAGGCTAAGGGGCGGGACATCTCTAAGCGGTTGACCAATCACAACAGAGCCGGCCAGCTAACCAATCAGAGCAGACTGGGCTCTGGTTTCAGACAGAGGGTGAAAAGATACTGATATACACCTGAACATCAGCAGGAGAGGACTCTTTAAAGTAGAGACACTACATACTGATATACACCTGAACATCAGCAGGAGAGGACTCTTTAAAGTAGAGACACTACATATTGATATACACCTGAACATCAGCAGGAGAGGACTCTTTAAAGTAGAGACACTACATACTGATATACACCTGAACATCAGCAGGAGAGGACTCTTTAAAGTAGAGACTCTACATACTGATATACACCTGAACATCAGCAGGAGAGGACTCTTTAAAGTAGAGACACTACATACTGATATACACCTGAACATCAGCAGGAGAGAACTCTTTAAAGTAGAGACACTACATACTGATATACACCTGAACATCAGCAGGAGAGGACTCTTTAAAGTAGAGACACTACATACTGATATACACCTGAACATCAGCAGGAGAGGACTCTTTAAAGTAGAGACACTACATACTGATATACACCTGAACATCAGCAGGAGAGGACTCTTTAAAGTAGAGACACTACATACTGATATACACCTGAACATCAGCAGGAGAGGACTCTTTAACCTTACAAGCATGGAAAAAGCTGCCTCCTCTCTGACAAATCATGGGATATAACCGTTTCTAAGACACAATGAGGTCACTACTGGACTCAAATGATCAAAATCATCAAATAAAAAGGACTTTTGCACCAATAATATTCACTCTGTGTCATTATTGACACCCGGAATGAGTAACATGAGTCTAATATAGAGAATCTGTCAAAGCGAAAAAAGATAATTTTCCTTTTTTCTTAATTTCTGTTTTCTTGTTAGGCCTGTCCTGTGTTCTTTAGACGTCCTGCTATCTGTTAAAGCATCTTTTAGCACAGCAGATGATTTGAAGAGGTTGTGACGTATGAAGCTTGGATTTAGGTGGCCTTAGGGTCAGCTGCTAATGAAAGAGCCATTATAAACCCCCTGCGTATTAAAAGGCGAAAAGCACCTGACCAGTCCTCATGGAGATGACTCAAACAAGCAGAGAAACTAAAAAAGGATCAAGACACAAGACTCATTTTCATAAATGCACAAGGCGAAAGGAAAAATCACATGCATCCCTTTAGGGTTGATGCTGATTATGCAACGTGTATAATGTCAACAGATGTATTTATATTTATGCTAAAACACAGAAAACTGAATGATTTATCAGATGAACAAAAAAATCTGCTGTATATTTTCTATGCATGCGTCATCAATATGATCAGATGATGTTATGATTCATGCTTTGCTTCAAGGAAAGGCTTGTTTTGAGCAAGCAAATCCTCCTTAAGTGAAAGCATTAATACAAACTACTCACCTCCTGCTTTTTCTGATGCATTCCTCTTCCTCTGGCTCTCGATGGTTCGTGTAGAAAGCGGTCCTTGTGATGGAGGGATGTGTTTCTTCTGCACAGCCATGCTAGCTTTTGAGCCTGGCATACCACTGCTCTCCCTCTAAATACCCCCTCCTTCCTCACCTCCTCCTCCTCTTATGAATTTCTATTTCAAGATGCCTTCGGGTCTTCGCTCCTCCAGTTTTCTGTGCAGAAGGCTGCCCTCTGAATCAGCTGCTGTGCCTAATAACCCAAATAAAACAAATTATAACCCTGTCTAATTATACATTCATCCTGTCTCTTTAAGGCTAAGCAAGTCTGAAATATTGTCAATAAAAAAGGCTACTCCCCCTTTAAAGATCTGCTCTGCTTTACTTTTGCATATTACAGCCGTGTCACTTTAATTCCCCCGGCCACACCGCCTGCTTTCGGGATCGATGTGGCCAAAAGGATGCAGCATTTTCTGGGGATACAAAAAATAAATAAATGCAAGCAAATCTGAGAGCTTGTATTCATGAATAATTACAATGAGAACGGTGGTATGAGATTCCAGTGACATACATTGCTTGGGCATTAACTCGCTCTGATGGAGGCAGTGTTCTCACGAGGGGAGGCAGAAATGTGAAGGTTTTTTTTTTTTACCCATGATTCCTCCCTGTTAGATTAAAAGAGAGAAGACCACTAGATGGAGGTATTTCTGTCTGATTGAGTCTGTGTTTCTTCAAATGACTCCAGCTACACTCACACATTTATACACTTATTTTACCTTAAAGGGGACCTATCATGCAAAATGCACTTTTGTACGTCTTTTATACATGAATATGTGTCCCCGGTGTTCCAGGGAACTCACCAAGTGTCAGAAAACACAACCCTCTCTATTTTCCTCCATACCCAAATCTCTAAAAAAGGGGCTGCAACGGATCTGATACAAACTGATCCAGATTTGAACACTGTCCTGACGTCAGGACAGTGGCGCTACGGCTATTGGGCCAACTCCACCAATCAGGAGGAGACAACCACGGCCATTGCCGTTCGAAAGCGCTGGAGACGCTGTCGTACATATGCCAGGCCAGTAGATGGTGCTGTTCTCACTGAATCAACCCTTGCAAAAACAGAGCTATAAATTGTCAAATTGAGCGAAATGAGGCATGGCTAAAATGCATGATCTGTTTGGTATTTTGAAAAATATATGGCATAAATATGCCTTATATAGGTATGGTCCTACACTATATTATTCAAATATAGCATGATAGGTCCACTTTAAATTGTATGTCTTTTTATTTTGGGACCAATGACCAAAACAGTGTTAATTTTGGCAGCTATTTTTGATTTAGTCTTAGTCTTTAGACGAAAATGGTTATTAGTTTTAGTCACATTTTAGTCCTTTTTATCCTTCATAGTTTTAGTCTAGTTTTAGTCGACGAAAACTCAAAACGTTTTAGTCGATGAAAAAACATTACATTTTAGTCAACTTTTAGTCAAAATGTTTTCTCTCTTTAAACCAATTCAGTTAGGCAAATACAGGTATCTGTGTTGAAATTCGTAAAGCAACATTTCACTCTCTTAACACTTTACTTTTAACTGTACTACTACTCTTAAAACTCTGTGTGCAGTCCGGTGCAGCGTGTCTGCTAGGCCCCGCCCCCCGCACACAGAGAGAGAGAGGGAGATCGCTCTTCTGGAGTGAAGAGAGCGGAAATAATGATATTGAGAGGCGAAGTCCCGCCCATCTACTTCCGCCCCATGGGACCTTATTTTGGAAAAAGTATGTATTGAAGTCAATGGAGAGAGAAAGATTATCTTTCGATCCCGTTTGAATTGTGCCACGAATTACACATATGATGTTTGTCAATTTAAAAGATAATTTCCATGTCAAAAAAGTCACAGTTTGTCGTAAAACTGTTGAAATATAAGACTATGAAAAATACGCAACTAGAAAGACTACAAATCCCAGAGTCGCGTAAGTGATGTCATTAACGTTACACATTACACTCGTGTTACTCACCGAAACCTTGTAAAGCCGGTCCCGCATGCTGGCTCTTAGGAACCGACTAACTCCCCTTGTGTGTATGTACAGCTCTCAACATGCCCAGACTTGTAGTGATTTTCACCTCTTTTAATACTTTTCGCCTCATTCTGAAAGAAAGAAGTGAAATGTGCCAACGTGACGGCCGTCTTGGTGTGTGGTGCGAGACGGCAGATGTAGTTCATTGAGTAGTTTCACACAAAAAAAAGTGTTACTTCACAGTTTTACGACACATTTGTATTTTTTTGACTTGCAACATTATCTTTTAAATTGACAAACATCATATGTGTAATTCGTGGCATAATTCAAACGGGATCGAAAGATAATCTTTCTCTCTCCATTGACTTCAATACAGTACATACTTTTTCAGAAATAAGGTCCCATGGAGCTCCCCGGAAAGGGAGGGACTTCGCCTCTCTATTCCAAGTTAAAAACGTAAGATGCATTTTGACAGACAAGACGAACAATTGGGGGAAAATCATGGGGAAAATATCCTGCGTTTTGAATGTCCGATAGTCCACCATTTACACTTTAGTGCCGTCTCGTCTCGTCAACGAAAACTAAATACATTTCGTCATAGTTTTTATTATCAAGAATCTATTTTTAGCTCGTCATCGTCTCGTCTTAGTCGTGTAGAAAAGGTCGTTGACGAACATTTTTCGTCATAGTTTTCGTTGACGAAATTAACACTGTTGGTGACCAAAAGCCAAATCTTATTTTCTTTATGCGGAACAAGGTTAGGTCAATTAAAACTTGACAAAAAGTGATTTTCGTTTTGAGTTCTGAGATTAAAAGTCAAAATTCTTGCATTTATTTCAGAACTCACACAAAATGTCACATGTGGCCTTAATCCTCTTCCGTATCTTTACAACTGAAACATCTTTCAAGGTGATGAATTACGATTCAGGATACTTTATTGTCCATTAAATGTCCATACAATTAGAATTAGTCTTATACTGAGCACACATATTAAGAGAACTAGCGTGAAAGCCTTCATCAAAACAAATATATAATACAACCTAAGATAATTTATGCAATGCTCTTTAATGAACCCCTGACGTTAGGGAAACATTTAGCACAAGGGACAAACCTGAGGTCGGTTATACAACGGGACACAAGACAGTTAGGTCAGGATTCAAAAGTACAAATCAATCTTTGATATTTGATAATTGAGTATATTGAATACAGCCACTGTTCACAATTTTCAGTGATGTCACCGTAGCCCCTTTTCGGACGCCCCCATTTTTCTCTTTTCTGCCCGTTGTTTTCTTTGTTTTCTGTGTGTTTACATGTTGTCGATGTACACTAGGGTCTTCCCCGACCTCTTGTCTCAGACCCTAATAAGCTTATGTTTGATGGCCGTGACAACCTGATATGGGTATGATGTGAGTACGTGTGCTGAGAGAGGAAGTTTCAGTACCTGCGGGTGAATCCATGGTCTCATGGGCTTCACAAAGGTGGAACAAGACGAATTTGAGTTGAAGAGTTTCCTTTCCATGCCATCTGAAGGGTTCATAATGCCGGTCTGTGTCGCTGCCACCATCTCCTGAGGGGGCGTCTGCTGCTTCCCACTGAATAAAGCTGGTATTGCCATCCGATTGGTCATTCCTTCCCAAAATCTCTGTTCTGTGTGGCATGGGGTTGCAGAGGTGGATGTGCCAGAGGCTGACAGACTTCCTGGAGCCGCTTGAAATCTGCAAGTCCACAATAAAAAAGAAATAAGACAGATGGTACCAATTCAGGAGAGAGTCAACAGGACTAAAACAAGGTGATGTTTAAAAAATGGCTGTTTTCAGCAAAGCATCACTCAAAAAAGCAATAATCCAAACTGCTCGTGTCAATTCTAATAAAAGTTGCCCGTCTTAACTTAAATCAAAATAACAGGAACCTGCCAAATTACTCAATTAGAGCAATTACATGTTTTAAATTTTAAATTAATTCTGATTTTATCACAGTACAAGTACAAGCCCATGACAGGGTAACAGTGTGTGACAATTAATTAAACCACAGGATGATTATTATTAGCTATGGAACATGTCTTGAACTCTCAAATACTGTTTTATTCAAAGGATTCATTATTTGTATTTCATGTTAGAGATTTTTTTAAAAACGTCTGAGAACTGGATCATATTATACAAATGAATTGATGTGGTGACTTTCTGTCGTTATTAAAACACTGATTACATAAAGTACATTTGACCCATCAGCTCTAAAAGGGTCATTATATACTTGCTGTGATGCAGACTGTAAAAACAATAAAGAAATGACTGATAACTAAAATCAAACAATTCTCATTATTGCTAAATATTCTATACACAAAGTCACATATTGAAACCACCACATGATTTTTTGTAACATTTGTAACATGAATATCAGTGGTGTGAAGTAACTAAGTACATTTACTCAAGTACTGGACTTAAGTACAATTTTGAGGTAGATTTTATGCTACTGTGTACTTCTACTCCACTTCAGTTCAGAGGTAAAAGGTGTACTTTTACTCCACTACATGTATGTAATACCTTTAGTTACTTTACAGATGTGGATGAATGATGTGAAATATAATCAAGTGTTAAATCAGACTTCAGTTCCACCTGGAGTAAATCCACAAGCTACCCTGCAGTATACAAAGTCATTAAAACTAGCTGCACCTTTACCAGCTTTGAGAACACTTTAATGATCAATCATTATAAAACATATCATATTATTCTGTAATAGACCAATCTGCACAATGACTACTTTTACTGTCACTACTTTAACTATATTTTGATGAGAATACTTTTCTACTTTTACTTGAGTAACATTTTGAATGCAGGACTTTTACTGTAACATAGTATTCCTACACTCTGGTACTTGTGATATATTATAATAATACTAATAATAATGGTTGCATTATCAAACACTTTTGTCTTTTTAACCATTTTATATTTTTTGTTTGTTCAGATAGCCTAAATAAGGATTTTTAAAAGGTTTGTTTGGAAATAGGAAAACACTTTTAAAAGGCAATAGTTATAATATTTAACTTATTATAAGTGAAATAAGTGAGCTAGTCACAGTTAGCAAATCAAATAAAAAAAGCAAAACAAATTGAGGTTTTCGGTGTTGCTACGTAACCGTTGACGCAAACAGCCCACCATAGTCAGATGAAATTAATAACGACTAGCTAATTATGCTAAATGCTAAGCTATAAACTTAAAGA